CGGCTGACGTACTCAGTTTATAATAAATACATTTTTGAACTAATTAAAAATGCTAAAAACCGTTAAATAAAATTGTTTCATTACATTATTTTTAACAACTAAGCTTTTGATTATTAATATTGTTTTATTAAAAAGACTTTCATAGAATGATTTCGGCAAAATGGCACCCCCCCATGTGCGGCGCCCCTATGCACCACATATACTGCATACCCCGTTTTTTTCCACTTAGAATAGATTAAAGAAATGCAAAACAGAAGGATTTTTACTCAGACTTTTGGACCCACTGTATGTACACACGCTACATGGGCTGTGGAAAAGATGGCTGCCAAGATGCGGTCTATGTAATATTTGCAGGTTAGATTAATATGCAATAAACAGATGCACATTTTTACTCCATTGATGAAAATAAGGAGCCGGAGATAGAAAGAGAGCAAGAAAGAGAGTGTGAGAGAGAGAGGGGCATGTGAGAATGTGAGAGGTGGTGATATTGGTTTCCATTACAGCTGTCAATTTCACACACACACACACACACACACACACACACACACACACACACACACACACACACACACACACACACACAAACGCAGAGCATCTTGGGCTCTGCATACTTGGGGGGGAGAAAGTGTGAGATGTCTTGCATCCTGTAGACCAGCACAAATTTAATACCAGGCTGAGCGTTGCTACAGTACCAGAGATCCCACAATAATGCAACTGCTATTCCCAGTCTAGGCTTCCAAAATAAATGCGTTTATCGCAGTTCAGCCTCACACAGCGGTGGAGAAGTGCTGAAAACCGCGATGACAACAGCTGCCACGACTCACAAACACAGTGCCAGGAAGGCCGCAAACACAAAAGCAGACAGAGAGAAGCTCTACAGGAAAACAACAGACTGAAGAATTGGAGTGAGCAGAGCCAAAAAGCAATATCCTTTCGTTTACTTACACCTCTCTGCCATGAAGCCAAGACAAAGAAACTAAGACAACCTGACAATATAAATAGTTTCTCACATTCTCACATTACTAAATCTCTCACTGTTATTTTTTATTTGTTTATTTTTTCTTCTTCAGTATTTTATTCTATGTAGGGCTTTAATATGTTGTCATTTAGTTATATACTGTATGGGCAAGTGACAAAAAAAAAAACTTTTAAAAAAAGTTATTTGGTAAAAAAAAAATGTTTTCCCTCCCCAAGGGAATTTTTTTTATTTTATATATATATAAATATATATAAAATAAAACAACAATAGTAATTGATTGAAAGTTCTAATTATATGTTATATGATAAACATCCTGTGATTTTATATTTGTGTGTTTCAACCCTCTGGGGTACACTCTTTTTAATGCATCCTTGAAATGTGTTCTTGTCTTATTGAATCCATCCATCACAACACACATTCATGATGAAAATATCTAAGACTGACACTTTGCAATCAACTGAGAGCCCATAAACTTCAGGCTTTATGAGACTGTGGACTGACGCGAGTCGGAGAGACCTTAGCAAACCCCTTCCTGAGTTCACACAACAAGCTACATGTGGCATCTAAATATATTTACCACATGCTACTTTCTCGTTCAAACCACCTGCTCACAAAAATTCACATTGGGTAATGCCGTTCTAGCATTTTTGATGGATGAAATGTGTCTTTGTTACAGACTTGCGTATAATAATTTGCACCTGCATTACAAAAGTACGGTGGCCTCCATCGTATCTCCACAACACAACTAAAACAAACAATGAAAATAGCACAACACAATGGAAACAAGCCAGAACACAATGGAAACAAGTCACAACACAACACAACAAAATTAGCACAACACAATGGAAACAAGCCGCGACACAATGAAATTAGCACAACACAACAGAAATAAGCTGCAACACAACAAAATTAGCGCAACACAATGAAATTAGCACAACACAACGGAAACAAGCTGCAACACAACAGAAATAAGCTGCAACCAATGTTCCCTCTAAGCTGTAAATTCGAGTTAGAGTTATTCAGAGTTAGAACCGGTGAATGCGGTTAACAGGTTTCATAGAAAGAGAAAGAATGATGTGCGCCGAATCACTCGCTGTAGAATCGAATACGAAATAGCTCAACACAAGAGCTAACGCAAATGCAATGACATGTGAAATAAAACGTCATCATGTTTTAAAGAAGAGTGGTTTGATTAAGTGGTGGAAATAGCGGATGATGGGCACAAAACAGTAGCAAAACTCCGAGACATTTACAGTCACACACAAGTGTAGTAGTGTGCAAACTCTACTACATGGGGATGTTTTAGATAACTGTAAAATAATTCACATATTCACGTTTTTTAAAAATATTTATTGAAAATACATATATTTTTTATATTCTATTCTATTATATTATAATCCTAAATAATTGACCTCAAAAAGGGAATTCATGAGCAATAACTATTTCATTTTTTCATATTTGCTATATTATATTATATTATATTACATTATATCATATTATATTATTATAAATAATTGAACTATTCTGTGTGAGATCATTTTTTTTAATGATTTTTAAAAATAAAATTTCTTGGTAAGTAACACGGCACTTGTAAAAAAAAATTCTCAGGTAACCTAAAATGTGCATCATTCAGTTACAATCAAGGGTCAAATATAATTAGCACAAAAATATATAAATATAAATAGCACATTAAAGTTAAAAGTTACACACTTTTTTGTGTGCGCGCTGTACAGGTCTGGTATACTTTGGTATTCTTTATATATAAAGAATGTTTTTGTTCACGTGGTCGAAATGTCCACCCAATAGAGAACATTTTTGCTCAGCAAGAAAAAAAATTAGAGGGAACATTGGCTGCAACACAACGAAATTAGCACAAAACAATGAAATTAGCACAACACAACGGAAACAAGCCATAACACAGTGGAATTACCACAACGCAATGAAATTAGTCCTATGCGTTGTGTTGTGGCAATTTCGTTGTAGTGTGCAAAACTGGGCCACCGTATAAAAGACACCAAAAAAACAAAAACAAAAACAAAACAACAACAAAACACAGGAGTCTCAGAGTCAGAGGGAGAGAGCGAAAATTTCAGTGTTAATGGTCATATTAATATCTGACCTCACGGCTGGAGAAGAATGTTGCTGAATTAATCAAATACAATCACACAACAACAAAACACAGGAGTCTCAGAGTCAGAGAGAGAGTGAAAATTTCAGTGTTAATGGTCATATTAATATCTGACCTCACGGCTGGAGAAGAATGTTGCTGAATTAATCAAATACAATCACAGCTAATTAAAAGAAAACAACGGAATTTTCGAGTAATGTGAAGAAATTACCACTATTGCAGTTTTGTTCAAAATGTTTCACATCTATCAAGGCTAAATGCATGTTTTCTTGTATACAAATCTATTATTTTCTTGCCTTAAAACATCACTGTTAATTAAAGAATAGATCTACATCTAACCTAAACACCAAGATCGTTCATGAATACGAAGATTGTATCATTTATTTGTGACTACAGCGAGCCTGAGTCACATGCAAGGAGATCAGGTATCAGTTTCTTAAAGGAATCTTAAACAAAGCAGCTTACTTTTCTGCCGTTCTCATCTGAAACATCACTGATCCCTTAATGAAATGAAATAAGCTCTGAAAATCCTCCCCTACCCACAAATTCGGTCTGTTTATCAAATGACCAGAGGGACTGACCGCAGACGTAATATCTGATAAGGAGCCTAATCAGGATCCCCGTTCGAAGTCAAAATTATAAGAACCCTTGACTAGACACTGATAAGAGGCTAAACTTTTTCACTCAGACTTTAGGTACACCTCTTATTTCTTTCTTTCTTGGTAATAGATGAAAAGAATAATTCACCTCAAAAACAAAAAACCCCTAAGACTTTATTTTCTTGCGTGGAGCACAAAAGGTGACTTTTTCAAGTGAATAAAAACATGGTCATCAAGCTCCAAAATAACTGAAAAACAACCATAAAGTATGTATAAAGCATACAGTTTTCTTGGTACAGTGCGTTCTTGAGAGAGTAGTGATGTCTGATTCATGAACGACTTGTGAGTCAGATTAATTGGTTGATCTGGATCACAAAATCGGTCTTGATTTGGTCGCAAAAGTTAACAGCTCACTGGAGGGGAAAATTATCTGTGAATATTTTCTTAGATTTCAATCTGTCCATCACACAAATCTAGTCGTATGGATTGTACGTCCTTTTTGAAGTATGAAAGCTTTGGTACGCATTTATTGTACTGTAATCGCACAGAAAAGCGCAACCAGTACAATATTCAATAGGGTGAGTAAACAAAACAAAAATACACTGACAAAAATATAAAATAAATAAACTAGTGCAAGGTTACATAGAAAAAGAAAAGCAAGGCAGTGAAAAACGTATTCTGTGTATGCGCCTATTAGGGTTGTTGCTGCCCTGAGTTATTATTAATGTACATTAAATATATGGTTAAATACAGTTTATAGCCGCTTAATACTAAATACAGCAATGTACAGATAAACAAGCTAATCAAAGTCATTGCAAAGACATAAAAAGCGTTGAGCCATGCCTCATCCTCTGGGGTTTCACTGTAAAGGCCTCTCCCCAAGGTTCCGTCCACCGGAGACACAATAATCAGTCAGCGTGGGAAACGTCGCCTCATTGCTAATTAGAACCGCTGTATTTTTAGAAGTGCTGCAAACGCACGACAAAGGCACTCAATGCCATCTGCATTGTACGCATGGCAGAGCGAGTTTCTACTTAGAGAATTCTTCGCTTGCTGTCATTGCATGTTTTTATCCCTTCTCTTCCCGTCTGACTGAGAGGGGATGTTGCTTATACGCTGATGGATTTGTGGAGAAGATGCTACATGAGTGGTTACTTGCATATTTTACTGAACATACAGTAGGCTTTCTTCAATACTGAGCTTAAAATATGCACTTACTTGCAGTAAAACGTCTTTGTGATTCGTCTTATAAGTGTTAATGTGAGTTTAATCATATTCCATCAACTTTCCTCACCTTTGATCTCCTTCTCATTCTTGAACCATCGGACATCAGCCGCAGGTTTGCTGCCAGAGGTCACACAGGTCAGAGTGATTTGATCTCCCTCCATCACAGGCTTGGTGAGTCCATTGATCTCTGGTTTCTTAGGCACACCTAAACATCGAGGAGAAAGAGAAAGAGAAAGAGAAAGAGAAAGAGAAAGAGATGGCTTAGCACTTTGGTGAGTTCAAAATATGAACAGTAGGTAAGCGTGAATTTAATGGAAAAAGATTAGAGATATTTTATTTATCATCTTCTATGAGCTACCCCAGTTCTTTTATTTTGCCTGGGGTTTTTTTGTCGTTCAATGAGGTTAATTTAAATGTAGACCCTTTATTCAGTGGTTATTTGATCATATTATTGCAGAATTTAAAAACAGTACAGTATCTTCAATATCATTTTAAAAGTTTATAACTAGGGCTGTCAAACTATTTTAGATTTAAAATTGAATTAATTACATATGCTGATTATTTAATCAAATTCAAATGTAATTAATCACATATACACTACTGTTAAAAAGTTTAGGGTTTTTTTATAATTTACATTTTTTAAACCTATCTATCTATCTATCTATCTATCTATCTATCTATCTATCTATCTATCTATCTATCTATCTATCTATCTATCTATCTATCTATCTATCTCTCTCTCTATCTATCTATCTATCTATCTATGTAAAAGTGTCATAATTTGCTCAATTTAATGCATCTTTGCTGAATAAAAGTATTATTAAAATTATTATTTTTACATCTTGCTGATCCCAAACTTTTGAAATGTAGTGTATCAACATTTGCTTAAATGAAGATAAAACATAATAATTAAAAATCAGTCTGTCAATGGCCTACAATCCACAGCAATCCATTTTTAAATTGAGCTGTCAATCTGTTATAAGGCTCATTCACACAGTATGTGCTATTGCATTCCCTCTCCAGCATTTAATTTATGGTTTATGTACACATGAAAGCCCAAATAATAACATACAAAAGATTCAAGTGACTTGATTCAAAGCAATGGTCATAATGTATCCTACCACCATCACAAAGATGGTGAACCTCAAATGAAGCAATCAGCATTTCAATCTTATGAAATATTTCAAGCACACAGGAAATTCTGTGGTCCACAAATACATTACTGTGTCAGGAGCTTCCTCTCTGAGGTAGCGGGCTGAGACAAAGAAAAATCAATAGGAAACATTAGTCAGGAAAATTAGATATTGGGTTTGCTTTGATTGAAGATGAGATCAGACGTTTGGCATTCAGTTCACAGGCCTTATTGCTCCCCTGAGTAAGAGGCCTTAATCACATTCCTAAGAAATAAATCAAAGCAAAAACAACCACAATGTAATATGCATTAAAAAGCAACAGAGTAAATACATCAGTCATTCTACTGCAGCGTGGCCTGTAACCTCCACTGGATGATGTGCTGTTTCTGAATACTGTCCCAAGATCAAGAAAAACCTGAAGATGCCAAGCTGTCGCTTCTGATTGATTCATTTCTTGGTATTTGATACACAAATGTTTTATACAAAACCACTTAGGGTGAAATTCACTCGAACTCGCACCACTTTGGTGAGTCGTATTTCAATGTTTGTGCACATTTCCAATTGATCGCGGCAGCTGTAATTCATCAAACGATGGAGAACAGTGTTCTTATCGACATTTAGTCCAGTCCAGTGCACTTTTGATAGTTTAAGAGTCGATTCAGATGCAGCGACGCTGTCCAGTGCCAGTAAAGTACGCCAGACTGCGCTAGTCTGCCGTATCTGCAATTTAGAGATCGTTCGACATGTTACTGGATCAAGATTCAAAATGTTGCTTCAGAAAAATGTTGTACTTGTAAAAATTACATTATCCATTATATATGTGACAAACATATGCGTAATATCCATAACAACATATGTAACAACATGTTTAATTAATAAATAAGCATTGTGTACTGTATATTACTGCTTATTTTTCCAAGATAATAATTACAACATGTAAATTAATTGTAACCATTCATGTATTCACAATGAGCAAAACATTGATCTAAATATTCATAATTAATTATAACTAGTTATGATTAATTATTCATATTTCCTCATGAGCTGATTCGTTACATAAATATAAATCTTTACTGTCATGTCTGATCAGTTTGCATTGATTTGTGATTGCAGTTTGGTTTTTTGTGTGTATACATATAAACATTCATTGAAACTTTTTTGCCTTAAATAAATATCTTTCTTTAAATTCTAAAGACACTGAGTAAAACGTTTTCAATAAAAATGCAGGCCTATTACTGCAAAAGTGGCATTTAAAAAGGCAGATAGACTACACCGAATTCAGGACTAATGTGAACAAAACTGGCTTGTGAAATTTTGGAAAGTAGCGCATCAAGACTTAATAACTCAACGCTTCAGCTGGCTGATTTAGGATGTAATCCCACACACATCATGTGTTAAATGATGTCTTACCCAGGACGGTGAGGAAAGCCTTGGCTGTTTTGACAGGCATGGTGAAGAGGGAGCAGGTGTACATCCCCTCGTCTGCCAGCGTGACCTCGCTGATGCTGATCGTCAACTCCTGCGACGTGGCTCGGACCAGCTCAATCCGGTTATCTCTCAGCGCTGCCGGAACAAACAATCAACAGAGCACCATTAATTATGACACCTTCATTAGCATGTGCCATACTCAAGAGCGACAGATTCTCTGTGACTTCTCCAAACCACCCCAAGTTTTAACCCATGAATACTGACCAACAAACAAGACGTGGATGCACCGAAACATCAACAAATTGCAATTTTAACCTAAAAATTAATTTGAAAAAAGTGAACATTGTGCTGAGAATGAAGATCAATTCTTTGCTGCAGGGAAAAAATTATTTTACGATGGCTTTCAGTCAGAGGGCAAATGGAATATGGATCAGTCAGGATTCAAATCTAACATAATTTCAGTCAATAGTGTACAGAATGAGCATTCATCGATTTGAAACACACATGCTTGAGCTCACCTACTCATTTACAAACTCGCAATTTATGACATTTGCAGGTTCTTTACCCAGTCGAGTATGAATAAAAGTAAAGTTCAAACTTATTATGATTGTGACCTCTGTGCAAAAGAGGCCTAAGGATACGGTTTAAGTTATTACACCTTTTAGTGTCCATCATCACACAGGCCTAATGGAAAGGTCAAAGTGCTAATGCAAAGGTCAAAGGCTAACGGGCCATAATTCCCTAGGCATCTTTAACATACTTTATTTAATGATAATGACTATACCAGGAAAACGTCTGGCAGATCATAAGATATCCGCCATGTGGCGGCACAGTTTAATCAACGGAGACAAGGTCACTAGTTCTAACCTTCTGCTTCCCATAAAACTCACTCAGAGATTTTGAGCCTCATTGACGGTCTGTAACAACCTCCCGGAATATTCACCGATGAGCTTCATGGATCTTTTTTTCTCAGGAGAAAAGAAAGAACACACCCTCATGGTCAGCCATCAGTGTGACCTTTCAAAGCTCTCTTAATAAAAAAGTTGGTCAATGCCTAAGCCGTTAGCCTTGTCATATCACCTGAAAACTTTAAATTGAATACAGCAGTGTTAGAGAATAGTCCGTTAAACTGTAGCTTCCGAAGTTTCCAGATACTCATTTAAAGTATTTTAACCACAGTCAAGGTTCTCTTTTAAAACAAAACTCACCACTAATAAAACGATGTACATTGAAGTTATTTAAGAGGGAAATATCTTTTAAATTGTGTAACTGTTTGAGATAATATGCTGCTAACCCAAAAACAACCATGATATTGTATAATATATATGGTTATTTCATATAAACAAACAAGGACACAAACAAGTCAGTGAATTATTTCATTTACAAGAAATCTCCAAACAAACAGATACACTAAAATGAACTGGATGTGTTTATGTGGATGAAAAATGAACTGTGTTATAGGAAAAGCTACATTATTTAATAAAAAATGAGTAGTGTCACTATTTTCAGTTAGAAAAATCGACAAATGCAGTCATGATTGTCTTAATATTTCATTATGTTATCACAGCAGGTTAAAGCTCTCAGCCACATCAACCTGTATACACCAATTACTATGTTAAAGGAACTTTAAAGGAAGTGTAAAGTGGATCCACGCAGGCACACTCTGGGTATCCAAACAAACATCCCACCTACACACCTCAGCGAGGCCAAAAACAGCCTATCTGATGTTGTGTGTTGACCGTGTGTTTTCAGACCCGGCTCCCCAGAGGTCTGAGTGCAGCTCCCTCTGGACAGCAGCATCTCTGAGGTAATTGAACATAATGAGGTTCATTACAGGAAGAGCGGCAGGCCAATGCTGGAATGAAAAAAGAACTTGCGGTAGAGGCTGTTTTTAATGACTTCCTGTCCTCTTTCCCAAATGAAGTGCATTTCAAATAATGGGACCACCATGGCAGTGCAAAAAAAAAATAAAAAGTTTATTATTTCAAATTAGATTGGATTCAGATGTGACTACCGCGGAGTTGAAAAAAATCTTCACAATCTCTATTTGTACTAAATATTGGTTATTAAACTCCCAAGACTGAACTTTTACTGAACTACTTTCAGTGTTGTCTGATTCCCAAACAAATGACTGTAATGCGAGTTTTTTTAGTGTCAAAAACATACATTAAAAATACACAACATGACCAGTGTAGTCGGTTTCGTAAACACATCTCCTAAGAGTTGGTTATTTTTAGTGAATCAAAAACATACAATGTGATCAGTGCAGTCCGTTTCGCAAACACATGACTCTTATGAACCTGTTTTTTTTTTGTGAATCAAAAACATACACCATGATCAGTTTTGTTCCATTTCCATATTCCAATTCCATTTTTAAAAGAAGTCTCTGATGCTCAACAATGTTGCATTTATTAGATCAAAACTACAGTAAAAACACAGCAATATTGTGAAATATAATTCAATCTATTAAACTACAACTAAAAAAAAAAGAAAATTCAATGGAAAATAGAATAAAAAGTTGCTATTTATTATATTTTGAATGCAATTTATTCCTATGCCTTATTGCATTTTATGAACAAATGACTCTTATGAAGCGGTTCTTTTTAGTGAATCAAAACATACAAAATAGTCTGATTCACAAACACACGACTCTTATGAACTGGTTCTTTTTTAGTGAATCAAACACATACAACATGACCAGTGTAGTAAATTTCTATGAATTCCACTTCTGAATTCCAATTCCATTGGGAAAAAAGTCTCTGATGATCACCAATGCTGGATTTGATTTGATTTGATTTTTTTTAATTAAAATTACAGTAAAACTGTACAACAGTAATATTGTGAAATAGAAATTTAAACTATTACTTAAAAAAAAAAGTTTATTTTAGTATATTTAAAAAAGTAATTTATTCCCATACCTTCCATTTAATGCTTAAACGACTCTTATGAATCAGTTCTTTAATCAGTATTTTAAAAAGATCAGTTTGAATGAGCCTGAAACACTGCCTTGAATCATTTACAGCATTAATCAAATCGAGCAATACTTTCATTCGCTGATGTAACTGTTGGACAGAGTTACTTGAGAAAAACTAGTTGTTTACATGCTATTTAATCTCATATTTCACTGTACTTGTTATTTTTTATTATTGTACAGCCAAATGATTTTGGCTGTACAATAATAAATGACTTACACTTTTTTTTTTTTTGAGGAGGCACTGCTCAAAAATCGCCCCTGGAACAAACCCACATGCACACACTCCTGCACACAAACTCTCTTCAGAATTCAAACCTCTACATGAGTTGAGGCGTAGATGCTCTCTCTACTGAATCTAATGCATCACAAGTATTCAGTGGAATGAAGGCTTTGCTGGGCATACACATACATATTGAACAGACTCTGAATTTGTGCACATGGTCAGATGACCATTGTTCACTCCACAAATATCTGGAAGCTTATGCTGCTTATTCTTGGGCCCTAAGCCCGATCCCACAGCCTGAATCCGACTGCTGAACAGAACTACAATGCTTCAGAAAAATGCCAGTAACTTCTGACAGTTCTGGAAATGCCAAATAAATATTCTGTCCCCATTCTGTAGAGCGGAAAGGGAGGGATATTTATCCATCTCGGACTAAAGCTGGGATACTTTGACTAAATGGGATACTCTGAGACAAGTTTTTTTTCCAGTCTTTAAGATGCCACGGACCCCCAAATATAGGGACCCGTTTTCTAAAATTGAAAAGGTAGCTATATATTTTCATGTATAAAGACTACATTTAAACACTGTAAAACCTAAATAAATAAATAAAACATTTACAAAATATTATTTCAATCTTTCTGTTTAAAAAGGCTACTTATCAATTTCACAAGTGAAAATTATTTTAAAGTAAATCCTACATCAATTTCTTTTCAGTGTAATGAGAACAATTAATATTATAAAAATGTGTAAATCAAATCTATAATATTTCAGATTTAACAGATCATTCCTTGCGATCCAAACTGATCAGCGAACATGGAAAAACAGCCCTGCGCACTTCCTTCGAAACAACAAGGCAGAAGTTCAGCGGTTTGCATCTTAACCTGCACTTGCATGCTGCAGTACAGCTCAGCAAATCAACACACGAAGCAAGCTTGAATCTGTGATGATGCTTGTTTATCAGAATATAATGAACGCGTGCTTTGGCACATCCAGAATGACAGCATTAGAAATGACGTGTTTTCGCTCACAAGTGATGCCATATTGGCACAGCGGCCGAAGTGAACCAATAGACACTCATCTATGATCTCTCAAGGGAGACATCTGTTTCATTTATTGACACTGTTGATCTTGTAATATTCATGAAGCAGTTCTGATCTTCAAAAAGCCTCTTATGCACACATGATCACGCTAGCACACAAAAGGTTTGACCAAAGATCTGGAAAAATTAGAGAAAACACAGATGCCCTTTGATTAAGACACAGTTCTTCCCATGCCGACAGGGAAATGGTGTCAGATTGCTCTCCGGTGGATTTCACACTTTGATGAAGCTTCCTGCCGAGTCTCTAAAGTGCTAATTTTGTTGCACCAAAGCCATTAATTAATGACGCGTCTTCTCAAATTGCTGGGGAAGGTCATTAGAGCCTCGGTAAAGTAAGACAAGTTGAAGAATGTCTCTTATAATTGATAATAAACTCTCATAGCATAACGAAGACACCAAACAAGTTTCTCATCTGCAAAACCTCTCATCAAAGACAGCCCAGTTCAAACACGCAGGATTACAGAAGAGAAAAACCGACTGAAGTGAAGAAAAGGTCCTTCGTTCCTCTCTAGAGCTGACGGGAAGCTAAGAAACACTCAAATACAAACAATTAACAGTCACGTTGTTACTTAATCTGTGCTTGATTTCCATTTCATTGGGGCTAGTAACTCAAAAAACGACTGTTTAATGGTGCTGAAGCTTTTGCCATTCCTTTTCAGCTTGGTAAAAATGAAAAACGGCACTGATAACCACATTACATTCCAGTTCGGATTCACACACCAGAAATGTGAAGGAATTTCATCTGGGTGTGATAATGACAGAGGAAATGATCAGAGTCTATATGGAGTCTGACAAGCCGTTATCATAAAGTTACACCCATTCTTTCCCCTCATTAACAA